TTCAGTGGCTAACTGGAGGAAAATGACTAGCAAACTCTTCTCCTGCTGTTGTTGTCGGTCAATCTGTTCCAGGGTTTTGGATACTCTTTGGAAGTTTGGACTCATTTTTTCCACCCCGGTTGCTCCTTCCCTCTCAAAACACGAGGCTGAGAGAGTGTCCCCAACCCACACCAACACATTCTCCCACCTTTCTCCATTCTTCTTCTTTTCTTAGCTTAGTCACTGTTGTTGTTGTGTCTTCAAGTCCTTCCCAAATTAAAAACAACCACCCAGCATTGCTTCTCCGTTTAAATGCATCTCCTTTCTGCCATTAACACTCCCTTCTCTTCAGCTTTTTCCCTTCCTGTTTTTGCAAAATTTTGGTTCAGTGCAATGTTAAAACAGTAAATGGATTTTTTTTAAAAAAAGGAAATTATCTGTCTATTGATCTATCTATCTCGATTTTTGAACATCATTTTGGTTTTTACATCTCCACCGTTCTGAGGCTCCCTGCAAGCCAGCTTGGTTTTCATTTTTAAAATAAAAAGTTCCTAGAGAATAGCTGAATATGCATCTCTTCTAATGGACTCCATCCAGCAGGGGGCGCTATTTCCCCTTAACCATAGAGTTAGGGCTTCTGCCCTTCTCTCCCCAATTCGGTCATATTTCCTCCTCATGCAGCGTCTGCGTGGCATGCGGTGGCCCATGCGCCAAGACCCTAAAGAAAATGATGGCCCCGCCAATTGCCTTTGCAAAAAATGTATCAATAATAATAATAATAATAATAATAATTCCCATCACTGTACCTTCAAAAATGTTAGTGATGCTTTAAGTCCCAGGGGACCGACCTTAAGGTAAAAAGAGAAGGATGTGCATTGGGAGAGACCTGTAAGGATTTGGGGGCTCCAATGTGGCACCCGAAATAATAATAATAATAATAATAATAATAATAATAATAATAATAATAATAATAATAAAAAATTTCTTACCCACCTCTCCCCATGGCTCGAGGCGAGCAATAACAACAATGCTCAATGCTACTAACTGAACCACGGAGCAATAACAATACTTTGCTATATGGCCAACACTGATAATCCTGGATATATTTTCCCAGGCAATTAAAAATTTAAATTAATTAATTAATTTTGCATTCAAAGAACTCCCTTGGGGGTCCCTGGGATTCACTAGTGTGGCTCGCGGCCCACATTTTGCTCACCCCTGTTTCATAAATAAATGCACAAAATGAATAAAAGAATTGATGGGCAGGGGAACCGGTGCAGTCACCTCCGACCCTTAAAGCATCGCTCCAGGATGGAATGAAAATAAAAATAAAAAGAGGTCTTCTTCTACTATCCCATGGTCAAACCGAAGCAAGCCGAAAATTAAATAAATAAGAATTTTGAAAAAGAATCAATCTTGCTTGGGAAGCAGGCAAGGCTCAGAAAGACGGTGATTTGTACCGCTGTCTACCGACCAGACATGTATATCGCCTTACTCCTACGCTTTTTCTCCAGTCGCCGCAGGCGCTTCTCCTCTCTCCGCCGGGCCTCCTCGGCTTCCTGGTGCTGGCGGCACTTGTGGAAGTTCTCCACCACGACTCCGACGAACATGTTGAGCACGAAGAAGCTGACGATGAGGAGGAAGGAGATGAAGTAGAGGAGCATCCAAGGGTTGTGGTTCTGGCTGGGCTGGCGAGGGCAGTGGGAAGGAAGCAGGAAGCGTGAGAGAGAGAGAAAGAAAGAGAAGAAACAATGTAGGATAAGCATGAAATGGTACAAGGTGTGGCTCAATATCATTTTTGTGACTCCCAAAGTCAAAACTTGGTGGAAAGACACCCAATCAAAACCATATAACCTCCCCCAACCAACCTACACCAGCAGTTTGTTTTAAACCCCAAATTTTTCTGAACTTTCTGAAAATAGTCCCAAACTAGTAGGCGTCGAAAGAAGATTTCTTGCCACTTCTAGGTTGCATTTTTGGCTGATTTCCTGACAAAGATGTGACCCTGAAGCCCAGTTTGGGTCTTACTCGAGCCATAATTAATTGCCCTTTCCAAAAGGTATAACCTGTGATGTTTGGGAACACTCTGTGTAGTATTTAGAGTTATGAGGATTCCACCAGTTTTTCCCAAGTTTCTGAGATTTTTGGGATAAGTGAGCACCTTAAGATTGGGGGTGGAGGTGTGGTGGCTAGGGGCATCCATGTCTGGGTGTGGTAAATCCATTTTGAGATCTATCCCTGACAGTAAAAGGGTTTTCAAAAGTGCTGAAGCCATTCCAAACACAGGACACAGCTATCCAAAGTGCTGA